CAGGGATCGGCTAATTATTGAACCTAGATGCCGCACAAAAAATGCGCGGCAGATCCTCGATTTTGATTGGCTAAGAGCAACGATCAAAAAATTAGGCCGGAGTTACTCATAATTTTACTAATGAAATCGCAACCGCCCATTAAGTGAAAATTGTTCCTGGGCCAATTTTACTATAATGCGAGCTTATTTTTTCTATTTTTTGTAATGAAAAAATTAAAAAGTAACTTCTGGCCGGAAATTAGTAAACAATTATGTAATGCGGGCCAAAATTTTGAAGATCCTCGGCCGTTAGCCAATCAAAATCGAGGATCTGCCGCGCATTTTTTGTGCGGCACCTAGCTAATTTTTTCAAATTCTTTAACAATAGCTAAAATTTTTTTTTCAGTTTTATATAATGTAAGATAATATATATATATATATATATCCCAATGAATTTTTTGAGATACGACAAGTTGGGAGCCCTAATTTCCACCCACAGTTGTGATTGAATGCATGAAATCCGTCTTTAATTGGACAAACTTGGTCACGCCACCTTAGCACCGCCACAAAATCAAAAACATCATTTTCTTCGATAAAAAAAAAATATTCAAAATATTTTTTTAAGCGAAAGTATTTTATTTATGCACTTCCAGAATTCTCTCTGCTACAAAAACATTGATATTGACCCACCTGTCCCATTTTTTGAACTACCCTGAAGAAAAAAAAACACGTCTTAAATCCATATCTAATTTATTTAATGCTTATCGCTATGACTGGTATGAGTTGCAAATAGATTGATTTTTTAGTTAGATATATTCATATATAGTCTTTAACGTTAGATTTAGATTATTCGATTTTTTTTACTATCAGAAAGGCAAAAACATTGTTCCTGATCCACACTAAATAAAAAAAATAATACACATCATTTTGACCCATGTAATCAACAATGTATTAAATGATCATTAATTAAAAAAACTACACAACACAAAACTTTATTAAATATACAGATTACTTATTTTTGTTAACTAAAACTTTATATATGCAATTGCTAAGACAAATTATTAAATAAACTAGTAATTTTTCGACTTACATATAAGTCTGGTTGCGTAAACTTTGTTTTTTTTATACTTAACTAGTACAAACTTTAGATTTAAATCAATAAATTGGCACGAACAATTGAACGTTTCAATACATTTTTATTATACTGATACAATACTGCAGATAAATAAAATGCTACGGTAAAGTACCAATTAATAGATTTGTTTTATACTAATACTATTAGTATAAAACCAGTGATATAATTGACGTTATAAAATATTGTTAATAAAATTATGCTTTCAAATTACTGTAACCCCTGATGATTGTATCACAAAGAAATCCGAAAAATTTAATGCTTTGTTATAAGTCAATCTAATTTTATTTTTTTTTTAAGTTACAGTGATTTGAAGGTTGTCGCTCAATTCCCGAAAGTTATTTCCTCGACAGGACACTTACCCGACATTACATAGAGTTAGAGTTAGGGTTACGTAGTAATTGATTAGTTGCAGGCATACATATTTAGCAGATTGTCACCCTGTGTGATGTCGGGTAAGTGGCCTATTGGGAAATAACTTTCGGGGTAACTTAATTTGAAAGCATTGTTTAATTTACTGTATATTGTAATTTCAGCAAATAGTACCCTGAGTTTCCTAAATTCTAAATCTTAAAGATTGATTGGCACCCTCTTGAACTGGCAATTTACTATTTAATTTGGCTAAATTAATGTTAAGCGGGCACTTTAACAAGGGAATACTATTGGCAGAAAATTAAGCTATTGTCCAGTGTCTATTTTTCTTAATCCAGTTTTTTACTGGACAGTTCGGACACTGGACACTGGCGATTGTCCAATTGTCCAGTTGACTAATACGATAATAATGTAACAAGTTCCCAAAAGCCATTTTCCCGAAAAAAAAAATAATTAGCCAGTACAATGTTCTTTCGGAAAACAGCTTTCGGAAATCGTACAGTAACCCTGATACAATACTGTAATAGATGCTAGTTTACTAATTAGTAATTCTAAAAATAAATGTTACTGCTAAGCCTCTAAATAAATTTTTATACACTACCAAAACAAAAAAAAAAAAAAAAAAAATTTAATACTTATTTTGTTTTCGGATTTTCGTATGATTAAAGTAAGTAAAACGTTAGTATTAAACAGCGAAAAGAATTAATTTCGATATGTAATCATTGCGAGATTTTTAGCCACTCTAATTAGTGATGTAATTGGTTTCGTCCAATGGAAAACATTATTTGTATTCATCCAATGGGAAGTGTGAGAGAAATTAATAAATCCCCGGTTACGGTTGCGGCAAAATCCGTTGTAAAAATAATTAGTTACGTAACTTTGATCAATGGCGTAACTTTAATTTATGACTAATATAGATTTAATTATTAACATATTTTTAATACTTTAATACATAATGTACCTTTTATTAAACTATTAATTAATTAAATTATATGTAGATGGCCATTGTAATATTTACGTCATGAAAGGATTATTGTATATATACAAAAAATTTATTACGCGCATGTTTTTTTAGTGAAATTAATTAATAATGGATACGCTTAAAGATATTACAATATTACAAATCGAAATAAATCCATTTACGTGTATTTACGTGTATGATAGTAACATTAATCAAGAGGCAACCTCTTTATTACCCGAATTTAATAATAATGCTAAGCTGTTCTTTTGCACATTAACCTTCCAATTCTCAAAACAGATAATGTATCAATTAAAAATAATAGCATTGGCGATAATCAGTCAGAAGAACATGCTTTAAATTTTCCCCAAAGAAAACTTCGTGGTGGATCTAAGCCAGACCCAGTTTGGGACTATGTTGATATTGGAGGATCATTTAGGTGATGGTCATTATGAGGCTAATTTTTAATTATTGTTCAAATATAGTTTATCTACGTTACTGGATATAAAGTTATCAGTTACGGCACATACGACATAATAGAACTGTGTTTATATATCACAACGAACGGCAGATACGAAATGTTATGAAATATCATAACTTGAAATGAAAAATTATAACAAGTTATAGCTTTGGTTATGACTCGGCATATCCCGATGCCTGGGGTTTCTACTGCATCATTAAACGCCATATGGCGTGCCGGTCAAAACCCCGACAACAAAAACTATTAAGTTCATTTAGGATTAGGTGAGTGCATAGGTTAGGGTTAGGGTCCAGATTTTTCCAGTGTTCCAATGGTTCCAGTGAGAAATCCCACTGGAATGGTTTTTTTCACTGGAACCATATACTGTATATATTGTTGACCAATAAAAATGTAATATTGTCCAAAAAAACTCAGGTTATATTGATAATTAGAGTATATTGATTGGATTTTAGTAATATATTTCAACATCAGCATCAACCACGACATTTATTAATTCAATTTCATAAACATTTTATTAATTTCATTTTAATCACATAATATAATATAGATTTTATTTTATTTTATTTGCGTTAATTTAGATTTCAATTTAAAGGTCTTTTTAAATGTCTATTAATATAATCTATTTTAGATAAATTTATGAACTACTTTCACTGAGTACAAAAAACGCTTATTAACCTAAGTATTTACAATAATCTATTCACGTTTATGATTTATACTCTATTTAATAAGTGCGTGCAAAAAACATCCCTAGAGTTATACATGAATGGAAAAAATATAGATGATTTATGACAGATAGTCTGGCAAAAATTATTTTTTTTATCATTTTTGCCATTACACTTTACAGTTGATTTCATAATTTCTGAAACAATTAGATTTTGCTGAATGATTTTTCGCCTGATTTTTGATTAAGAGTGTCTCAATCAATAAATAATGATAATCAATAACGATATTTATAGAATTAAATGCTTGAGCGTACTCTTATTATTTCTCGTAACCTTTGCTATGCTTCTCAAGGTATCGATTTTTTTGTTTTAAAGCTTTGAGAATTAAAAATAGTGGCTATTTTTTAGACCGATTAGAAATTTGTTGAGAATTGATATGCAGAAATATAAAAAGTAATGCTTGAGAGACCTTTATCAATGACTGCTGGTTTGTCATCGAATTGATTGGTGGCGCAGTTACAATGAGTCAACTAAATGCCGTCAGATTGTAAATACATGTAATTTTACTTTTCACCATTTAAAAAATTTGGTCACACTAGGTATTATATGCAGAGTTCTACGTGATATAGTGAAAAAATGTTGAAACTAATTGCAATTATTTCGTCACTAATAATTTCATGATAATTTTAATTGATTTTAATTGTATGCGTGTAACAAGAATTAATTTTTCGGTAGGCCTGACTATATTATTATGGTTTTCCAGTAAATGTAATGATGCTCAATTGCAATAATAGATCAAAATAAAGATCTCATTCACCGTTTGAGAGGACTCTAAATAGTTTATCGAAAATTTTACAAAACATATATGTCGATAATGACAACCAATAATAATAAGTATGAAAACGTTTGAGCAATACTTTATTCACTTTAATAGTTATAAAGTTTGATAAGTCAGCGCAAAAAAAAAGTTTTTTGGTTGAAATGGTAATCTCACGGTCATTTTTACATTTCAAAATTTTTTCTTCATGTAATAAGCTACCTTATCTTAATGACAAACTCAATTAATCGATTAAAAATACTTATCGCTAATTAAAATTTAATTCCTGATACATTTTCGACATACTTTGATCCATTTATTGAGGTATTTGAGAACTCCCTTGGTTAATCTATTCATTTTCTGACTATATAATTGAGCGAGGTGCTTGAAAACACCTTAAGTTAATGATTGATTATAAAAATTTCTTTTGTATGTATATTTGACATGTTTGGTATGGTTAGTTTGTATGAAAATTTATGGAAGAATAGCTCTTGTCGTCTTAACAAGAAATATTTAAAAAAAACACCCAGCTCATGAGCAGACTTGTTAGCAAATTTAGAGCAAAACCATTTTGATGATAAAATTATTTTATCATTAATATGTATGGACTCCAGAGTAGTGATATGCGACATAATGGTTCAAGTAGTAGCAATAAATCTGGACTTTGTATTATGCACTATAGTGCGAGAAGGTGGAGCAAAAACGGATAAGTTTATTGAATAAATTTTAAAACTTGATATTAATAAATTTACAGTACAAATGTTATTTATCATTATTAACAAAGATTTCATCATAAATTTAAAATTTTGATTAATAACACAAGAACTACAGTATTGTAATTTCTGTAACTCTTAAATTTTTAGACTATTGTTAAGATTTGAAATATATTCTTCAATGATCATAAGACATCTTAGTCTCCGCTATTTTCAACAATTTATCATTCGTGAACAACCCGCCAAGTTTTAATCAGAATAGTAATTTTATAAAACGCAGTATGTAATAATAACATAATTAGAGCTATTAACGAAGCTAACTTTAGCTGCATAATGAAGCCAAGCTGACCAAGACGATTGGGACTGCATCTTAAAGTTGTAGCTTAAGTTGTTGTTTAAGTTGTAGCTTGACTATAGCTTAGAGCTTTAAATTCATTATTGATTAATATTTAGTACTACTATATCGCTATTATCTACCACAGCTTGAGCCACGATTCATTGGGGTATTCGGTCAACTATGTTTGACAAAACTATATGCGGTACCATATAAAAATGAAAGATTTTTTTTTGAATTTAGTGATAGGATAGTGATCAGGATATGGTCGAGATTATTTTCACTTTATATATATATTTTAATAGTAAAGAATGACTTGAATATTTTTAGATGTCTAGAGCGAATCGCTATACTTTTTTCAATTATTTTAGCATAAATTTATTCTTAAACATGTTTATAACAAAGTTACGTTAAAATTTTTTAATGTTAATTAATATTTAAATTTCAAGTTGACTTTTTAAAAAAATTCTGTTTCATATTGTGAACTATCGAAGAGAGATATTTTCGTTGTAGGTAAAAAATTTAATACTAAAACTAAAATTTTTCAACGTAACTTTGTTATAAACATGTTTAAGAATAAATTTATGCTAAAATAATTGAAAAATGTATAGCGATTCGCTCTAGACATCTAAAAATATTCAAGTCATTCTTTACTATTAAAATATATATAAAAAGTGAAAATAATCCCGACCACTATCCTGATCACTATCCTATCACTAAATTCAAAAAAAAATCTTCAATAATTAATTTTTATATGTACCGCATATAGTTTTGTCAAACATAGTTGATAATGTCACATGATGCATTATGCAATCCCGTACAATATACTATGGACCTCTCAAAACCTATATGCAGTGAACAGACTTTATAGTATTACTGAGAGGTTATCAGATTTTAAAACATAAAATATTAGATTTATGTAGTGGAAACAGAACTGGTAGATCAATTTTTATTGGATTTCACAGGCTATGATGGGAACAAGTGTCTATAAAGTAATTATTGATGAAATAACATGAATCAAAATTACATAATAACTTCTATGTGCATTTTTAAATTTTAGGCAGCTTGCATCGCATTATGCAGCATTATGTAGCTAGAGGTATTACCCGGGTCGAGTGACCCGTACGGATCACGGGTCGAAAATTGCTCTAACCCGGGTCAAACGGGTCAGAATTAAAACCTACTAAAATGCTATATTACGCAATTTACTAATATAACTATATGAGTAGAAGGCAAAAATTTACTAAATAGTAAAGCTCTTACCCGTGTCGTCTGACCTGTGCGGTCAGCTTTTTATTTCTCGAAGTAGTAAATGAACGAACTCAAATCATGAGCAAGATTGAAAAATTTTTAATACAAAAATCCGAAAAACTCCAGTTTAAATATTTGGAGCACAGGCTACTCTCTATACTAACAGCTCTAATTAAGAGTCGCTACATCAACTTTTAAGAATTAACTTCTGACCCGTTATAACCCGGGTCAATACCTGATCCGCTCGGGTCTGTATTTTCTGACCCGGGTAAGACCTCTATATGTAGCATGCAACATCGCCTACATAATGCATACGGCATATCTCTAATTAGAACATTAAATTCTTCATAGTGAAAACATTTTGCAAGACAACGTTTATATTACATATTTGGAGCATTCTAATCTAGTAATTATAGATCAAATTAGTTATAAATATATTGGGGTGTGAAGCAAATTGTTTCTAAATAAAAATTTTTTTTTAACTAAGTTAAAATATCTCAACAAGTATTGAACAAAACTTGATAAATTTTTTATTTTATTTTAATTCTATATAGTTATAGAATTAAAATTTATCAAGCTTGGTTTAAAAAACTTACTAAAAATAATTTGTATTGACACCTTCCATATATACTAAATAACTCGGTAGCGATTAACCAATCGGAATTAAAGCTGGATATGCTTCCGAACTTAAAATATTGTGATACCGTGATGGGATTTGGGATTTGAGATTTAGCCGGAAATTGGGATTTGACGATTTGGCTAGAGTTTGGGATCATGATAGCCCAATAGGGTTTCCCTAGTTTGGGATTTGGTTCGAGTAAGATTTATAGTTTTGCCAGCAAGTATATAACATTGCCGTAGAGATCCGTGTGCCTGCAATACGGATTTTGGTTGGTAGATCCTTAATGTAAAAGAATTCTAAAAAAGAAAGATCTTGTTTTGTTCTACCGATACGTTGGGGTGTCCAGTGTACTATATTGATCAAATATATGTATAGTCCCATATGAACAATTTGTGTGTAACAATCGCGAAAATCTATAGTAAAATACCAGATTTTTTAACAAATTTATTAAAAAATTTTAAAATAACAAAAAAACCGCTTCATTTTTTTAAAATATAGATCTTGTTGAGTAACTGAACAAAATTTTTAAACGAATTAATATGTAAGTTACGGAAGAGATACAATTTGAAGTTATATAGATATCTATATGACTTTAAATTGTGTCTCTTCCATAACTTACATATTAATTCGTTTAAAAATTTTGTTCATTTACTCAACAAGATCTATATTTTAAAAAAATGAAGCGGTTTTTTTGTTATTTTAAAATTTTTCAATAAATTTGTTAAAAAATCTGGTATTTTACTATAGATTTTCGCGATTGTTACACACAAAATTGTTCATACATATATTTGATCACCGATACGTACAAGCTTCTAAGACTAAAATAGATTAGATCTCCAGCATAATCGGAACAATATTAATATCAAATTTGGTAAATTAACAGGGCTATCCAATTATAATACGTAGCAATAAAAAAAAAAAGCATCATTTATTCTCGTGCAGTTTAATTTGGCAGAATTAAATTATCTAAAAGAGCTAAATCTAAGTCACTTGTAAATGAAACTATTCTGAATTTTCAGTACATTATTTTAAAAATAAATAAATACTAAAAAAAAGATAGATAAAATTGAGATATTACGGTAGTTTGTAAACCTTTTGATTGTGTTAAACAAATTAAATGCCAAGACTAATATCTCAAAATTTTGTTAAAAATAAGATTTTTTTGTGCTATGGAAACATTTTTAAGGTTTGGGATCTGTCTAAGTATACAGTACATATCGCACGGAAAGCCAATAGATTTAAGCTTTAGAAAGAAACAATCACTGGAAAAAAGTCATATTTTAGCTAATTAATAGCCAGTATATAATATATAATACAAATTATAACTTATTTACTATATATTGACTAGATAATATATGTATTTAAATATATTAACTAAAAATATATTAAACTACATATATTGCCTAGTAAATATATAGTATAATTTGTACGTACTATATATTACTGGTTATGATTTAGTTAAATATGATTTTTTAAATCAGTGAATTATATTCGTAAGGGCAGATTTTTTCGTGCATTAAAGTGTTTTCATGTATGAACATATATATTATTATTGCAAATTGTTTATAAAAGGTCTGCCCCAAAGTACGTATGGTCAGAAAAGAAGGGATCGCTATAGTACATAACTTCTTATCTGACGTGTGCAACAATGCTCAAATCGGATTATTGATTAGAAGTAACGTAAGACAGTTTCATATGGTTTATAAATGCATGTTCCCATTTTTCGATGATTCGAAAATCTTTTATTGTTATAGCATTTATTTTGACATTTACTTTTTTTTGTTTTTTATTTTGACATTAAATGATCAGAGTTGTTCAAAATGCCCCTCTTTCAGAGAAAATCGTCTCCAAATTTACTCAACGAGAAAATGTCACTTGTAAATAATATTGATTGCATAGATAATAATTTTGGGTCAGAAAATAGATCTTTAACTTGTAGTTTTAGTGAACTTCCTCATTGGTTGCAAGACAATGTTGATATTATTACTGGTATGATCACACAATATACAATTCAAACAAACTTTATCTTAAAATAATGATCTAGGATGAATAACTTTTGTAGGCTACCGGCGACCAACTTATTCATATATAAAATGCGTGCGATCTTTATTTTATCTTCATAACGAAAGTGGTGCATATATATTTTATTATTATTATTATTATTACCATTGGTGATAATAAAATGTACTAATCGAAATTTATTCCTTAAAGTTAATATCTGGTCTCATCTTGTTGGCGCAGTTATATTTATAATTATCTTAATTACAACATATTTCTCTTTATCGGCTTATTCTTCAATAACACCTTGGGATTTCGTAGTCCAATATAGCTTTTTAGTTGGTGTGTTACTGTGCCTAACTTTCTCAACATTATTTCATTCTTTTATGTGTCATTCTGAAATGGTAATTAGTGTTATGTACGATGTTGTATTATAATTTTTTTTTTAAAAAAAATAATACCTACATACATATTATATATATATTATAGGTTTGTGCGCACTGGAATAGATGCGATTATTGTGGAATAGTATTTTTAAGCATGTAAATATTTCAAAATTTGTTTTTGGTTAATTTCATATAAATATTTCAATAACTGATTCATTGAAAAAAAACCTGTTTTAATAGCGGATCAATGATTCCTATTTCATATTATGGTAATTAACCTGTAAAGCTTTCTCCTTGTCATTATAGATAATTCATAATTTTATAGATATTTTAGATATTTTACTCATTTATTTGCAGCTTTTTATTGTAATAGAACGATAAGTATTATTTATATTACATTGGTTATCGTACTTGGAATTGCAACGGTTCGTAAATTATGTGTACATATTTTATGTTTAATTTCTATCTAACTAATTCATTTGTTTAATCAATTTAGATTTCTGTAGCTATTGCTCCTCAATTTCGAACACCTGAATTTCGATGGTTTCGCACTACGTTATTTATTGCATTGGGTTTGTGATATTTCTGTGTGCATTATGAGAATATTATGTGAAATTTATCTATAATTGCATATAACTACATTGGTTATACGATTTTCTACGATTTGAAGGTGCCAGCGTAGTAATACCGATCTTTCACGCCCTTATACTCTATGGGGTATAGTTTAACAGATATCTTTTTTTATTTTATTTTGAGTAACTTAAAATAACAAAATTAATTACTATCTATATATTTAGTTTAATATTTGCAATAATATTATTTCCTTAAAATGGATGCTTATAACTATTATCAGTTATTTTGCGGGAGCGATTTTATATGGATCAAGGCATTTATTCTGTCAAATTATTTGTTTGTGTAAATGTGCTTGTTGCAACATTAAATTTACCAAACTATGTACATATATCTATTTAGGGTGCCTGAGAAGCTTTCTCCTGGAACATTTGATATATGGGTATGTTATTTAAAAAAATTTTTTTTCTTTTAAAAAGATTTATTTAAATTCTAAATTGCGTTTAAAAACATTTATATGTAATAGGGATCTTCCCATCAAATTTTTCACTTCTTTGTTGTTTTTGCATGTCTTACTAATTATCATGGACTAATTAGTGCAATGTCATACTGGCATGAACATAATTACGATTGCAAACTGGATATTAGATCATTGAATTAATTATTAACAGTAGATTGTTTGGTCAATTTTTTATTTACTAAATCTTAAAAAAAAATTTTGGTGATTAATATTTGAAAAGTTTCAATTAAAATAGAAATGTAAAATTTTCAATTAAAATAGAAATGTAAAATTTTCAATTAAATAGAAATGTAAAATTTTCAATTAAATAGAAATGTAAAATTCTCAATTAAATAGAATTGTAAAATTTTCAATTAAATCGAAATGTAAAATTTTTGAAAATTTTCAATTAAAATAGAAATGTAAAATTTTTTTAAAATTGTACGAAGGTGTATTTATAATAAAATATTAGAGAAAATTACCAAGTTGTTAATTACCTTATGAGTTTTCATAATTCGTACTGTAAATATGATTTGTATATCATATCTTATATGTGAGTGACGCTAAAAAAAAAAAAAAAAACATATAGTTTTTGATTATGTAATTCAAGGATAAAATCTACAGAATGTATAAGAATACTATTTACAATTTCTTGGTAAGTAGTTTTAGTATGCTGACTAGATAAGAATATTATAAACTCTAACGGTATGTGGTCGAAGACTTGTTATTAATATATACCACATTTGTTACTTTTATCAGTATTTAGAATTTACGTACGTATAATAAACTTCCACAATCGTGTTAAATTCAAAATCTCTCTTACTAACCAAAATCCGAAATATTTAAAACTTCATAATGTTTCTAAGAGAGATTTTACTTTTATTGTTATTTAATTCGATTCATTGTTTATGCATAGCGCTTGAGATTATGACGCAACTTAGATCGGCAAGGATTGGCCTAAATTATAAATTAATTCAAATCTAACCTTAAATTATGCCGGCTACAATCTCACATACGCGTTAGTCCAGATAAGACACTTTCAATTCATTTTGTCTGAAAAAAAAAAAAAATTATAATCTTTTTTCACTATATGTTCGTCTTTAATATAATACTTTGTGTTTCTTATCATATTCAAACATATTAGTGGATATTTTAAATTAATACTGTACTGTATCAAATTTGTATAATCTTTGCCAACGAATAACTTTTTTTGATTCACTGATCTATTACCACCAATGACCGCCTCACGAGACGAACATAACGCGTCTCAATCTTTAGGTCAATCATAAAATATTATTAATGTTAAAGCTTTGTGTTACTTCGGGTAAAACCCGATGAGTTTAATCCATCAATAATCAAGATCACACGATCTTGTAGTAATTTGAGGACCGGTCATTTAAGTAATAAAATCATCTAAACAGAATAATGCATTTTAATACAATAGTATATAATTCTAAATATCTTTGGATATGATAATGACGATAAAATATCAAATTACTGTATGCAGCCAATGGACAGTTTTTATTAGAATATCCACGTATTTGTATTTGAAGCCGTTTATATTTTAATTATTTTCTATTTGAATTTTAAAGTAATACTACATTATGAAAGTTTATCAATTTCGGATTTTAATTGATAATGAAAGTATTTAAAGTCCAAATTTTTGCTACTTTATTGGCAATTTTATTTGATAAGCTGACGATATTGATATTTCTGACTTAAATTATTTGAAAACATACCAGAAACAGAGAGAATAAAGTGTAGATGTGTATAATGATATTACCAAACTGTTTAAAAACTATCAAATTTAGTGATAATTGAATTCGAAATAACTGGTCAATTTGGATTGATACGATAAGAAATATAACTTACGTTATCTACTGTATAATCCAGATGTATTGTATTTTATCGTCGTGCTACAGTATACATTATTTACAAAAATATCAGTGTTACTGATTAATAATATGCAATAGTTATTACACGGATCCTAATTTTCACCCATGACTTTTTTTTACTGATATTCTCACGGTTGATATTTTCACGGCGGACTAATATTAAACCGTGAGAATATCAGTAAAAAAGGTCATGGGTGAACAATTAGGAGCCGTGTAATAAATATATTAATATGTCTTATCAACGTTGTATCAGCATTACTGTACAGCAAACTACGCGTAATTGGCCCTCATGGCAGAGAACTATAAACATAACTAATTTCGTCAAACAAAAAAATACATAATTCTTTACGGATATTTACAGTCATCAATCCTTTTAAATAATGCTTTCTTTTTTAACAATATACCACTAAGGGATTAATTCTTCAAAACAACATGAAACTAAATCCTCCCATAACATTAATTAGTGAAAAAATATTGACATTTTCTTTTCTGGCCTTTTCAAAATTAATTGAAGTAGAATCTGGACCAATATTTAATAATTGTTTATCTAATTCATTTCTAACCTATAATCCCTACAATTCTTTGCTTAATTATAATTTTGCAAATGATATTATCATAATGGGTGATATGGCAAACGTAGATATAACTCAAATTTGTTGTAATAGTTTTCAATGTTTATACTGGCCATGGCAATGGAATAATTGCACTACATTAAACAATACACATCACAAAGTTGTTTTTATGTAGAGTTACGTAGAATATTTATGTAGAGTTATGTAAAATTTTTATGTAGCTTTATAAACCCAATGTAGATTTATATATATATTTATATAAATCTATGTATAAATCTATGTAGAATTATGTAAAATTTCGAAAAATTTTCAACTTAAATATTAAAGCTAGAAATGAATTTTAAAGCTTAAATTAGGGGTTTTGGGAGTGTTTTCTGGCCTGCTGAACATTTTTACTTAGCATATCAAACACTGATTACCTTAGCCATTTTTGAGAAATA